ATCTAAGATGCTTCGCAATGCTTTACAAGGCCTTAATGTATTGGGAGGATTCAAGGATATCCACTTAAATTTTCATATATATATTTGATTTACTCCTAAAGTGCCGACAGCGATTGACTTGCATTCATGAATCATCAAAAACTTCTAAATCTGCTAAAACAGGAAAAAAAAAGAGGATTAGCAAATTAAAAACCAATTCAGATATTTGGGTGAAATATCGCTGTAATGTTTGTGGGGGGATATGCTAATACTTTGTAAATAATAATTCATTTTAATGATCACTGGCTGACTCTTGAGACATGGGACAAAACAGATAATATTCAACTGGAAATGCAATGAGGGATTAATAATAGTGTATTATTATCAAAATCAACACTTGATGTCTCATATCAAGGTAAAATTGTTTTTAAATGACATGCATAAGGCTTCAAAGATGCCCCCCATTTTGTGTAAAGACCATCAGACATTTATTAAAACTGAATAAATCAGCCAATAAAAGGGGGCAGTTGTCACTTCAATTAAAAGAACCACCTTCACACCATCCACCTTTGCATAGTACATAAGTTTTTTTACACACTCTCAGAAATAAAGGAACAGGAGCTGTCACTGGGGGAGCACCTTTTCAAAAGATACAAAAGAATCCACATTGGTACCTCAAAGAGGCATATTAGTACCCAAATGTACCTAAAAAGTACCTTTGAGGTACAATTATGAACCCTTCAGCTACAAATTTGAAAAGGTAAAGCCCCAGTGACAGCTCCTGTACCTTTATTTCTGAGAGTGTACATTTGATAGTTTTAGAATAGTAAATTAACCATGATATTTTAAAACCATCATCAAATTTCTGGGGAAAATATTTAAAATTGTTAAACAATTTTCCTCCCTAAAGCAGGCTGCATTATAACATCAACAGAGAAACTGGCTACTGCAAAACAATAACATACTGACTGTTGTGATTGTTTTAATGGTTAAACTGGTGAATTCAAGAAAGATTTTATTGATTAGGGCGGCATAGTATTGGAAAAATTTGTTTTTACTCTACAATATATATTGCCATATAAATAAAAAATTACCAGATGACTTATATCGCTCTATTTGCAAAGTCATTACTTTAGACTATGGGAGTGAAATAAAAATATATATTTCTATGTAATTTATAATATACATATAATAAACAAACTACAGTCATAAATAAACACAATAAAGTGAATATTAAAGTGAAATAAACTGGGGGTTATGGTTTATTGGAGAGAGTAACAGTATTCAGGTAAATAATCATATGAATAATCAATCTATTTTATTTTTGTTAAACTCTTATGCACTATTAAAATGCTTTAAACTCTCTTTAAATGCTAACATAGTCACAGGCCCTAAAAACACATGCAGATGATAAACTTTTACTTCATTATGGTTCAAAATGCAGTGTCTCTACATATCTTATGAGTTTGGACTTGTGGTTTCTGGCCATCTATATATATATATGTATATATATATATACACACAAACTCAACATTGCATATCTTGCAATGTGACTAGTGCGGATGCACACATTGCGATATCAATGCTGAAAGGATATATTGTGCAGCTCAAATGAGAATGTATTTGAAAATGTTAAAAACATCTTGATTGATGTTTAATGTGTATGATGGTGTTGAAAATAAGTGATGGATGCATGTTCTTTAAAGAGACAATATGAGAGGTTAGATCAGATCACATGCAAAATAAAAACATTATATTTGTCCTTATTTTTTCAGCTTGTTTTGTTCCACTTATTGTGAATCATAAATCAATAAAAATATTAACATCATTTAATAATTGTACAAAAAAAATAAATAAAAAATCAATACAAAGTTAACTTGCTCACCCGCATTGGCAGAGGGTTTTCAGTGTAGTCCACAGGCTGACAGAGCAAACTGTAACTTGCCAACCAAGAGGAGGCTGTGAACTGAAAGCAAAACATGAATGAATGAATGAATGAATGAATGAATGAATGAATGTTTTTATTTGTCTATGGTCCATACCTCATAAAACATATAAGCAGAAAGGCACACCATGGAAAAATTGTAAATAATAAGTAGAGCTTGGATGTTGACTGGTTCTCTGTGAACCATCAATTTGGGTCCAAACCATACCATGACAAGATAACAGAGGAAGATTCCGCCGACAGGCAGCGGAGAATAAACCAGCAGCCATCCATCTGTCCTCTTGTCTGTGGAAATAAACCAACTCTACTTCATCAGCTCGTCAAACTACTCTAACAGAAAGCCATTTATAAAACATCCAGTGAGGACCAATTTGTCAAAGATAATAATCAGTGAATCTAAACCAGTAATCTACATATAAGCATATGCATGTTATAGGCCTACTAGGTGTGAAGAAAGCAATTCAGACCTCCGTTTTCTAAGATCCTCTCGTAAAGTATCTGAAGCTTTTGCCATGTCGACGGTGATACAGACACCTGAGCAATTAATAATGAAAATGAAACAGGTGTTTAGGTATGGGTACATTGTAAAAAGGAAATAGGAAAGAAGCAAGACAAACGAAACCAACCCATACAGAATAACCTCTCGTGTCGTATTTTTATCTATTAATATCTGTAAATATTTTGGACTTGACTTACCATTGCGTTTGATGTTCACAGAGCAACGCACCGCAGCGCCATCTATCGGTTGATTTTAGACACAGCACAAGAGTTCGTTGAAGGTTGTACTGTATCTTTAAAGACTAACTGTGATAAAATGTCAATTATGATCGCTATTTCTATTCCACCAGAGAAAGAACATGATAGAATCACGACACAGAGCTCTCGTTCAGCATCAGTGGCTCAATGGTGAGTTAAAGGGTTTAGACGGATTACCAAAATCCCCTGGATAACTTTATCACAATCAACTGCTATTTTGAGCGTTTTATATATACATATATATATATATATATATATATATATATACATACATATACATATATATATATATATATACACACACACACACACACACACACACACACACACACACACACACACACACACACACACACACACACACACAGAGAGAGAGAGAGAGAGAGAGAGAGAGAGAGAGAGAGAGAGAGAGAGAGAGAGAGAGAGAGAGAGAGAGAGAGAGAGAGAGAGAGAGAGAGAGAGAGAGAGAGAGAGAGAGAGAGAGAGAGATGAAGTCAGAATTATTAGCCTCCTCTTTATTTTATCCCCCCAATGTCTGAGAGTTTTCTTTAACACATTTTTAAACATAATAGTTTTATTAACTCATCTTTAATAACTCATTTATTTTATCTTTGCCATGATGACAGTAAATAATATTTTACTAGATATTTTTCAAGACACTTCTATTCAGCTCAAAGTGACATTTAACGGCTTATCTAGGTTAATTAAGTCAACTAGGCAGGTTAGGGTAATGAGGCAAGTTTTTGTATAACGATGGTTGGTTCTGTAGACTATCAGAAAAATACAGCTTAAAGGGGCTAATAATTTTGACGTTAAAATGTTTTTTTTTAAATAAGACTTTCCTCAGAAGAAAAAAATATTATAGGAAATACTGTAAAACCTTTCTTGCTTTGTTAAACATAGTTTGGGAAATATAAAAAAAAAGAGAAAACAATTCACTATTTCTATTCCACCAGAGAAAGAACATGATGGAATTACGACACAGAGCTCTCGTTCAGCATCAGTGGCTCAATGGCGAGTTAAGGGGTTTAGACTGATTACCAAAATCCCCTGGATAACTTTATCACAATCAACTGCTATTTTGAGCATTATATATATATATATATATATATATATATATATATATAGGCCTACTTTTTGTGCTTTAAATCAAGTTATATTTAACTAAAGAAACACTAACCTTTTATGTTTTAAAGAAGCTATATTGTATATTATTCTCAGTAAATCCCTCATCTTTTTGTAGCTTTACTGCAGGCTTTTGTATACATTGAAAAACTGTATACTAATAAAAATAAAGGTAGGTCATACTCTATTTCTACGTGGCTTAGTATCAGTGTGAATGAAGATCAGGTTCACTTAAACTCATGTTTTATTTACAAGCTATTCCATCCCCAAGCTGACTGATACATTTGAATGTGTCAGTTTATAGACCATTTTAATGTGGTCATGTCATTGGCCCAAACATTTCCTGCTGGTATCAAACCATTTCATAACTGTAACAAGAGGCACTTAATGTTAAACCAGGTATCATAAAATTATTTACTAATATGTGGCTCTTTTTGGATTGTTGTTAGCTATAGAAAATAGAAATCTACAACAGGAAATACATTGGGACCATTGTTTGTTTCTAAAACTCTCTAAATAATCCATAAGACATGTAAATCTATGTGAGAAATGTAACCTATTCAGTAGGCTATTCAAACAACAGGCAATGTTTAACTTCAGGCAATGTAAACTTTAAAGACATTATTAACCTTGTTAACACATTCAGTACAACCTTACTTGATTGATCAAGGCTTACCATGGTCATGTCCCAGGCTAACCTGAATGACAATAAATATAAACATATAAACTAACATGATATGTTTGCATATAATAACATATCACAGAAACTTTCCAACACATGCTAGCAGTGCACTAAAAGATGCAAGCAATGTGTAAAAACATAAAAACATGCTACATTATGTTAGCAACTTGGTAACAAGCAGTTAGTATGTGGTAGAAAATGTTTTAGTAATAATTCACATAAAAAGGAACCTTTGCAAACCATTTCCTCACCCTGAAGTAGGTTGCAAACCTTTGTGATCTCTTCCTTCTATTGAACACAAAAGAATATTTTGAGGAATGCCAGTTTCTGGTAGCCTTTGTGTCCGTAGTAGGACAACTACTGAACTCAATGACTACCAGTTTTTAGCATTGTTCAAAACATTATTTAGTGCTCAAAAGAAGAAAAACTCTCATATATTTTTTCAAGGATGGCATGAAAATGTAAAGTCTATCCATGTAAACTATCCTTTTTAGTTAAAAAAAAAACAGAAAAGACATTACATAGTTTTTTAATTAATATTTAGTAACATGTATGTATTTATTTTACAGCTCTTTGCATATCTTACACCATTTTTGGCTGTTTACATTAACTTAACATATCAAACAACATATTAGTAAAGAAAAGGCTGTTAACATAATAATCCAAGCAACCACTTAGTTCAGCACAATCACATTTTCCCAAAAAGGGGGGAAATCAGAAGTTTAGTGTAAATAAATGACTCCTGTGTTCAGCATCCGCATACAGACCCCTGTCTCAGGTTTAAAGTGTACACTTCATTAAGAACAAAAATACACTGAAGACAACCGAATACCCCCCTCTGAGGTAAATATGAAGTTCTGACACAAGAGCAGCTCCATATATTTACAAAAAAAAAAAACATTATATAAAATAAAATAATAAAACTAAAAACTGTGTAAAATCTGTGGTTGTGAACATGTTCTTGATGAGAATGATGGGTTGGCTCCTTTGGTTTCCCGGTCACATCTGAATCGCCTGATTTTTTATGGTTATTTGGATATGGATTATGATGATGATGAGGCTCATGTTGTTGATGATGATGATGATGAGCAGCAGTTACTGGCTCTGTACTGTTGGGCCGCTGGTTGTTTTCTCCTGCGGGCTCATTTTTGGTGCTGTCAGAGCTTTCTGATATGGAAAAGTTGGCATTTAGCTAAAGGAGAGATAGAATAAGTGAACACATGCAAGCATTTCATAAATATGACACTTTTTTTCTGAGGGTGTTGTCACTCACTGAGCAGTTGCACATGTTTTTGTGATATGTAGCCCTGATGGCAGCTTCTATATAAGGGTAGTGAAGAAAACTGAATGGCAGGACAATGTGAAAGGTGAGGTATCCACATCTGACAGAAAAGCAATAAAAACACTGAACATTCAGTACTTTTGTGAGCAGTTTTTAAACAGTCCTAGAGCAAAAAAATATATATATTTCAGGTGACCAGTCCTTTGGAGAGCTCTCGTGTGAATACAAAAAAGCAATGTGAAGCTTTACTAACAGCTAAAAATAGAGAACACTGTTAGTTTACAACTATGCTTTGTTTATACTGCAAATGCAGCTAATTTAGTTAAACACTTTAGTTTAGCTCACTTGATTAGTTCACCTTTTTTATTTCTCTGGCTATCTTATATTTTAAATGTACCTATATTTAGTAAATGTAAATGCTCTGCACTTCTCCTGAAAGGCTTTCTTTTCTGTCAAAGTATTTTCTTTTACAATAGGAAATGTATTATTAAAGAAATGTTATAATATTACTTTATGTAACGAGTAAAGAAACGCATTCCTTTAAAAATTTTGGTTATAATATTGGAGTTACTCTAAAAAAAAAATTTAATGCAAGTTACTTTTTAGTTAAATTAATTTGCTTAAAAAAATTTACTGAATTTAAATTAACGTACTCAGGTTACATCCCACAAGCAATGAGAGAATGCAGGAACAGAATAAAGAAAGATGGCAGAACCTTACATGTCTGCGATGGAAAATTTTTATTATTTTGAAATCATGAAAGAAAAGATTGTCTGAATGAACAGGGATTTTACTTTTTAGTAAGGCAAAAAGTACAAAAGCATCAAACACATTGCTTTAAACTGTCATTAATCTGTATGTATAGGATGTAAAGTTTGGGGTCAGGAAGTTTCAGAAGATAACATTATCCCACATTAATTTTTCATTTGTGTGTGTTTTTTTAAGGCTAATAAAGGTTATACAGTGTTGATTGCAGAGCTCCTCTATCTTAAAGATAGAAAAAACCTTGCAAGTTCTGAAAGAGATCAAGCTTCAGCCAGGTCAGAAAAAGTAACTCAAACCATAAAAAATGTACCCAAGTAATGCAACTAGTTACTTTTTGGAAGAGCAACTCAATGTAGCAATGCATTACTTTCAAAAGTTACTTTACACAACACTGATATACATGAAAACAGCGTCATTTCTAACTACAGCTGATCAAATAATCATTAAACTGGTACGTGACTTTCTGAGTCCATCTCTCTCTTTAGTATGTTGCAGTGCTTTATTTATAACATACAATTGTAAGGTATTGAGTGTGAAATGGGACTCGCATATCAGGAATGTATGCATTTTGAGTTGGCCAATCTTTGTATAACCCGGAGTTACTTTTTGGTTGGCCATCTGGTTGTTTCTAACGAGTCTCCTGTTTTCCTTACTGGAGAATAGTTCAGTAAAAAGAAAGAGAGACAAAATGCCCACATGCGTTTAGCATTTTTCCTTATGGCAAACACAACAGTAATCTGGTATTTTTACTTGTTTTTGCTAGTTGTGTGAACACAGAAGCTCAGGTTTACTATGTTTGGAGGAGATCCCTCACTTGAACATAAGAGTCATGTCAAACTTGTCTTATTGGTGTGTTTCACTCATACCTGTCATACACTAAGAAATCATCCTTGTCTCCCTCCAGGATCTCCCAGACGTCATTTTGCAGTGGGCTCTGCTGGTACACCGGGATGTCCTGAGCTGTCCTCCTTTTCAGCTCCCAGTACATGGCTCTGGACTGAGAGTCCTGCTCATTCACAACCATGAATGAAATGTTAGTCAGTCCTCCATTAGCCAGCTTGTCACGCAGGTCTCCCAGCCTTCACAACCAAAGAGGAAGAGAGGATAAAGAGACTTTATGGCTGAGAAGTTTAGCAGTTACCACATGAGAAATGATATATCTAATTCATTTGATTTTCTCAGTGATGGGTTGCAGCTGGAAGGGCATCCGCTGCCTAAAACATATGCTACATAAGTTGGCAGTTCATTCTGCTGTAGCGACCCCAGATTAATAGGGGCTAAGCCAAAAGTAAAATGAATGAACAATTAATTTGAAAAGTTTTACGTGATTTTAAATTTGTTTAAATTTCAAATGTATAAGGGCCAAAGACTAAAATGGGTTTTAATCAACAAAACAATAAAAGTGTAATACAGCTTTACATTTTCTCCTACTTACATTGCAATGTGTCCTGTAAATGTTTGATTGATATACGTTATGTTTTATAAGTGTATTCTGCTTAAATTTTCTTATTGCTAATTCAAATTCTTATCAATATAGTGCAACTGATGTCATTAAGTGTAATAGTATACCATTTTTCATATATCAAAAACAAGCAAAAATCATGTGATATTAAAAGACTATTAAAAATAACTTTTATTTGGCATTTTCTTTATAGGTTTTTACCCACAAATTACCAGCAAGGTGTTTTTTTTACTTATTTAAAATAGTGTTCTAAAACATTAAAAATTCTGCTGGTAGTGCAGATCACATTATGCAAGTATGTTGTTTTGTAAGTATTTTTAAATATACGTTACATCAGTCAATATATATTGAATAGCAATATAGCTTTGCAACATTATTTCATTTTCACACATACTTTTATATATGTATGTGCACTCAAAAATGAATCACGATAAAGTTGATCATTAATTGTTTGTAACCTTTTTATTTAATCAGTTTTTTTAAAATGTAAGTTGTCAGGTTCCTCAGCATCAATCTAAATATATGTGACATCATTTACTATTAGATTTAATCAGTTAAAAGATATGAATCTTTTAAGATATGAATATATATATATATATATATATATATATATATATATATATATATATATATATATATATATATATATATATATATATATATAAAGACAATGCGCAACGTTACCCACTGCTGTCAACCTTGGCTAAATCATATCTCTCTGTCCCAGAAACTTAAGTCCCAAATGAGAGTTTTTTTTTCTGTTGCAGGGGACATGCCCAGAGATCCCAGCTTTTACCAGATTATAGTTATATGATAATTTTCCTTAAAAAACCCATCTGGGTTATTTTGCATGGGGTAAGCAAAATAATCTTGTTTTTTCTTTTGACGTAAGATTATTTTGCTTACCCCATTGGCAGATTAGTTTGCTTGTTTTAGGGAAAAACTCACTTATTATTGGCATATTAATTCTCAAAACAAGAAAATATGTTTTTCTTGTCTAGAAAATTCTTCTTGATTTAGGAATTTTCAGATATTTGGACTAGAAACAAGACAAAAAAATCTAAGTAAGAAAAACATTTTTTGCAGTGTACCGTACCGTGCCATTCGTACCGTGAAATTCTGATACATCCCTAATATATAATATATATATATATACACGACAGTTCTGTCTGGTTCTTGATAGCCGTGCGATATTCTGCCAGTAACATCACTCTTCCATCCTCTTAACCCTTCACCCTTGTGTATTACTCTGCCCACATACAGCAACAAGCAGAAAGACACTCTACAGTTTGACAAATATTGCTGCTACCGGACACCCTAATGTACTTTTGAGGCTTTTTAGTCAAGAATGTAGTTGTTTAGATTGCAACTACGCAGTTTATTTATAAGGATAATGCCTATTTTAAAATGTTTATCATTTCTGAGACATCTCGTCAGTGGCCATTAGGCAATCTTAGAGCAAAGATGGTTGACAATGTTCATCTACAAGATGACAAAGACTGCATAATAAGGCCTAAAAGGGGAAAAACCTTGTAATATCTAACTACAGCTGATCAAATCACTATTAAACAGGTAAATGACTATCTCAGTCGATCTCTCTCATTTGTATGTTGTAGTGTTGTATTTATACCATAGTAATATTGTGATCTCCCGATTGCAGGCCCGGCCCTAACCAATTTGGCGGCCTAGGCAAAATTTCAGGTGGCGCCCCGTCACATCGCAGTAAACTCCACTGCTAGTGTATAGTCATAAGAAACTAAATAGCTTTTTGATCAACTACTACAAGCTGGGAAAACGTCAGATAAATATGTCAATGCAGTCAACGTTATTGCTGAATAGATCTAATATTTACACATTTTCTTAAGGAAGGAATGCTGGGGGTAGTTACATTACTATTACTATTTTCCATAACATCCATGCCCATCCATAACATTAGCTGACATTAAAACTAACAGATACCACTATAGATATTTATTGATTAGCAATGTTATGCCATATCTGTCACTGTTGGGATGTAAAAACAAATTGGGACAACAAATAGCTTCAAATGATAGAATACATAGCAAACATTAGAAAATATTGACAATAAAATAAAATTTTATTAAAATCAATGGCCTATACCAAGGGTGGGCAAACTCGGTCCTGGAGGGCTGGTGCCCTGCACAGTTTAGCTCCAACTCTAATCAAACACACCTGCTTATAGATTTCTAGTGATCTTGAAGAAATTGATTAGTTTGTTCAGGTGTGTTTGACTAGTGTTGGAACAAAACTCTGCAGGGACACCGGCCCTCGAAGATCAAGTTTGCCCATCCCTGGCCTATACAGAAATTAAATAAAGCTATAAAATCTATTTAACTTTTAATTGCATTTGCATATTGATTAAAGTTACTACAGTTATTTAGTGAAGAGCAGAAGATGAATCTCTCATTGTGTTTTGTTTGATAACAGAGTTGTTCATGTAAGAATGCACAGATCTATGTGAATGAATGAATGAAGCATTCGACTACTTTAGTAACTGTTTGTGCACATTTAAGAGAAAATGTATTGTGTTTCAAATAAAACACGCAGGACAGAGCAAAAACTACTGGGAAATCTTTGTAGACTGATGGCATTTCATGCTGTTCAGCCTTATAATCTTAAACGTGAGCAAAATCACCTGTTTTGTCATCTCTCTAGACATTACACTAGAGTATACGTGTTTAATTTAGTTTAAATGATTATATATATATATATATATATATATATATATATATATATATATATATATATATATATATAGTTTTTTACAAACATTTACTTACATCACTTATTTAAAAAAGTCATCAGATCAACATCATTAAAATAATTGCCATTTAGTCTCTGTTATAGCATCATGTATTGACATTTAAAGATCACTGACCTGGCTGCCTGCGTCAGACAGAAATGTCAGCTGGCTTTAAGCAGAGCTACGACGACTACATTTCCCAGAAGTTCCTTCATGGGAGTCTTGCCATCGATCTCCCACTGCGGGGCAGGTTTACAGATCCTCGAACCACTGCTTTCCTTTTCCACAAACAGTGATGAAGCTCCCAGCAAAGCCGGAAAAGCAGACAGCAGCAAAGGCCACAGAGCCTGCATCACGTCTGCTGGACTTCAACCACTGCAAATACAACAAATATACAGCTATTCCTGAAACATTGATGCAAGTTTCATTAGTTAGCTCAGAATCTGAAGTTGAATCAAAATCTGAATCGCAAACCTGTAGATCTGTTCCTTTGTCTCCTCTGGTGGAAAACGCAGAAATGAGGAAAGTTGACTGGTCTACACTAATAAAGGTCTTGTTCTGGACAAACCCTCCCCCTCAACAAACACAACAAACCAGTAAAAAAAAGTGGAGCGGGGGTCTGGCGTACTACAGAGATTACTGGGTGATCCAAGATAAACAACTTAAATAAATACACACAGGCTGATAACAAACTAAACAAGATTTTAATGACATCTTCTGTTGTTAATATTTTTGCAGTTAATAATTTTAAAACGAATTTTGTGTGTCATGGGTGAAAAAAAAAATTACAATGAGTTAAAATCATTTAATAATAATGATTCAATAATAAACAAATAAATAAAAATATAAATGTATGCTCTCTAAATATGCAAAACAAATATAAAGTGACCGAGAACTAAATCAAATAATGATCTGTTGTTTGAGATCAGTTTAATTCCAGATGAGTTTCTAGATGCCCATCAACTGTGCTCATATTTTGATACTTATATATACAGATAGGTCCATAAATATTTATAGAAGTTGATACAATTCTAACATTTTTCGCTCTATACACCAACACAATGGATTTGGAATGAAACGAACAAGATGTGCTTTAGCTGCAGACTGTCAGCTTTAATTTGAGGGTATTTACATCCAAATCAGGTGAACGCTGTAGGAAGTACAACAGTTTGCATATGTGCCTCCTATTTGTTAAGGGTCCAAAAGTAATTAGACAGAATTATTTAATTCATTTTCTTTTCAGCTTAGTCCCTTTATTAATCTGGGGACGCCACAATGGAATGAACCGCCAACTTATCCAGCATATGTTTTACGCAGCAGATGCCCTTCCAGCTGCAGCCCATCACTAGAAAAGATCCATGCACATTCATTCACACTCACAATACGCACAATTTTAGCTTACCCAAATCACCTATACCACATGTTTTTGGACTCATTGAGGAAACCCACGCAAACATGGGTAGAACATGCAAACTCCACACAGAATCGCCAACTGACCCAGCAGGGGATCAAACCAGTGACCTTCTTGCTATGAGGCGATTGTGCTACCCACTACGCCACTGTGCTGCCCTAATTGAACAGAATAATAATAATCAATCAAACTTTCACTTTTTAATACTTGGTTGCAAATCCTTGCAACCAAGGAATAGGAAAACAGAATATGTCGAGCATATTGTTTAGCATTTAAAGTCAGTTCTAATCAGGGAATATTAAGTACACTGTAAAAAAAAAATACGTTATGAAAACACGCTAATTCTAACTAAGTTTCTTTTTAAGTTAAACAAGCTGTTTCAATGTTAATTTAAACTTCAATGTTAATTTACAATTACATTTTAAGGTAAGTCATTTTTAGCATGTGAACAAAAAATGTCCCCTTATCTAGTCTCTAATGTACATTCAGACAAAAAAAGAAAATCTTAATAAATAAATATATAACTCCGAATAGTGAGATTTAAATTCAATATGCAAATTCGGCTTTATATGTATATCCAACAATTTAAAAAAGATTTGTGGCAATTGTTTTTAAATATGGAACTGCTTCTCGTAATTGTGACTTTTATAGGCTTTTAAGTTCTACATTTATGTCAAGCAATATGCTTCAGCACGTCAAAATATCTTTTTATGTGTTCAACAGAAAAAGTTGAACTGGTTTGGAACAAGTGAAGATTGAGTAAATGATGACAAGTTTTGGGTGAACTGTCCTTTTAAGGATTTATTAGAAGTATTTCCCTGCATTAAAGAGTCTAGTGACGCCCCTGGTCTGTTCATGACTGTTGTTGTAGCTGAGTTTCTCTCTGGCAGTCTGTGTTTGCTTGAGGTAAACATTAAATGATCGAGTCATGTGGAAAACAAGTGCACGTCTACATATTTACTGTCCTGCTCAAATGATGCAATTGATTCCAGTAAACAAAAAAAAACTTTTCTGCAAAAATATTTAAACATCAGAAAATCGTTGCTCATCACCCTCCTTTAAAAATCACAGAACAATTATGAAGTTATTGGATCTCAGATGTGTACCCCACACTAAATAAACGAAAAAATAAATTAGAGCATTTTTGTTTAGACTTGTAGTAGAAACCCAAAACAAATAGTTTGAAATTTACACCAAACTAAACATCATTGAAAGCTCTTACACCATCTAATGATCAGAGGAATTGATTTTAGTTTTGCAAACAGCTGCGCTTCATCCTTGAAATGATTGGGACAAAGTACACACTTTAATCCATAGAGCAATAACCTTTAGCCCACTCTAAATATCGGAGCAGACATGAGTGCCCAAAGAAAAATAGTAAATAAATTGTACATGTTCTGAGCTTTTTATGGAAAGAAACGTGTTAATTACTTTTTGGGTACTTTTTCATCTCTTTTAGCACTTGCAGGGTATTTTTTTGAATAGAGAACTGCATTTAACGACACACTGAATAACCTTCATTTACCTTAGTAAAACTAGTTAAATTAAAATACTGTTACCTTCTTAGACCTTCCTGACGCTATACCTGCTGTATATATAGAAAAAGTTTATAAGTTTAAAGCAACATGTTATTGTTACTATTGTATTTTTGTCTTAACAATTCGGTAAAATCATGGTCCATTGAGACTATCCCGTTCTATTCCATGTGTTGAAAATAACGAGAACACTTCCATCACAGAAAAGTTAGGCTCAGCCATTTTGGTTTTTGTCTGTTTCCGTAGGGAGCTGTTTTTCTCATTGAGTTGGATTCAACGTGATAACACTAATTTTAATTCAGCAAACCATTTAAAAAAAAAAAAAACATTTTTAATAGTTTTTTGGGGGGTGTTCGCCTTGGATAGAACAGTAGAGAATATTGACAGGAAAGAGTGGGGAGCAATGAGTGAGGAAGAATCGGCAAAGGACCGAGCTGGAAATCGAACTTAGGTTGCCGCTATGTCGACGAACTAACCACTACGCCATTGGCGCCGACAAACAATTTTTTTTAAAAGCAAATTATTCTAAAAAGTAACCTGATTTACATTTTTTTTCTAAAAGTAACTCAAATATTACCTAATTTTTTACTTGTTACATAGAAAAGTAATATTATTACGTAACTCACATTACTTGTAATGTGTTAGCCTCAACACTGGTCAAAGGTAGCCAACACTGTTAAGTTAACAGTTTTGTTCTGTGAAACGCAAAAGAAAATTTTTCAAAATTGATAGTCTTGAAAAACAATAATCATTCAATTTTGTGTAAACTGTCCTTTTAGCAACCGAGCTGAATGAAACTCCAGACAGGGCTGGCAAAACAAGAATAAAACGTAAATAAAAGCAGAAGCTCTGGTTTGCTTTGCAGAAAGAAATTTATTTTTCCAGAACAGTAGCATCATTCAGTTTTGCGATGGCTTTTTTGCACAATTTTTTTGGGCTGCTAACGTTCTTCGCTACACATCACATACCAGACCTATACCATTAAAATAGGAACCTGTCTTTCCAATTTGAACATTTACCTCACAATTGCCAACGTCCTCTTACAGAAACTAGCATGAAATCTAAAACCTTTGTCTCAGTAGCAAAAATCAAATTTAAGACATTTGGTTTTCGGGCCAGATTCTTAGCATTAACTGAGTCTGTAAACAGCTGGAATAGTCCACCAATTTACCTCCATTTCCTCAACCCAGGTGCAATATCAGCATTGGGGACTTGCAACTACACAGCAAGATGTAGCAAAACCCTAATATTTTATTCAATCTGAGAGAAAAGAAGTCTGAAAATGAAGTGAACCAACTTCAGGCTGCTGTGGTATTTATGCCAATGCTTTTATGCAACAACAACCACCCAAAATAACGTATACCAAACATCCTCTGTGTGTCCTGCTTTAGCTTCGCCTGGCTGGATTAACAGTCACGTTTCAATTCCGTCTCACAAATGCGGTGTTTCAGGTCATGACTCCAATCAGTCCTTCATCGCTTGTCATGTTGCCCTCTGGACTGTCACAGGCTGCTATTATGCCTAGGCCCAGCTCTGCCAGTTCATCCTGCATGCTCGTGCTTACCATCATTTTGGGCTCCAGTCGATTGCACAGCGTCCTGTAAGAAGGTAGAGGGTAGCCAAGTTCCCTGAGGTACTCGTATCCTTTAACCCCCACGGCGCAGCGGATCTTTCGGGCGGTCAGTAAGGTGTCATGTGACCACACAGCCCTCCGAGAGCGCTTGGCTAATGTCAGGGCCCGTATCTGGTCCTCAAACAGGAATACCTGCAACCCCTTTTCTATTTTACTCAGTTTGTAAAGACGCTTCTTCATCTCCTCCGCCTGTGTAACAAAAAAATTGCAGTGGTTAGTTCTTAGTTCCACTTCTCATTTTAGCACATCTCTCTTAAAGACCTAGATTCAAGATTGATATGGATAGTAACTATACTCTCATTCCGGCACAATAATTAAGGAACTTTGTTGCTGTCAATGCACTGATATTACACAACGCCGTTACTGCATAATATCATTGTGTTTGCTGCAGCTACAGTAGCAAAGTTCCTTGATTATTATGCCAAAATGAGAGTATAGTTCCTATCCTATCAGCAGAAGAGTCAAGCTTAAAAAAAAGAAAAAAAAAAAAAAAAAAAATATATATATATATATATATATATATATAAAATCTGTTTTATCTTTGCTAACCTAAGCTAAAAGTTTTCCTGCCAGACACTGAGATTGGCTAAATGGATTCAAAAATAGTAAAACCCAAGGGGCCAGTGCGGTGTAAAATGAGTATTTACAAAAGAGTGATGTGTCCTTTAACATACCTCATTCAGACATGCAACCCATTGGAAGAGAGCTTTATGCATGATCTGTTCTCTGAATGACTGGATCATTACACAGTGAGTACGTTCGCATGGATAACAATATTCAGATTTTAATACCATTAAGACAACACTCTAATTAGGAGTCTACCATGTAAACAGATTTTTTTGGCTTATTTTAATCTGATTAGTCATAATTAAACTAAACAGAAATGGAATTAAGATATGTGGAGTATGCCGATTTTAGTCGCATTATTGAAGCGCAGTACAGACATGTAAACACAACAATCAAACCATTACCGTCATGTAGGACTTTCTGCGACAGGATAGTCTTTACACAGATATAGTCAGTAAAGGACCACAGACACATAGATTGCAAAATGTGGAGTGTTTTTTTCCCATACAATGTGCGGTTACAAATTCCATTTAAACTACATTCTTCCAACAGTTCACACTCACATCCAATATCTATGAAATAAAAGTGGAAGTGCCAAACTGCAGTTAAAGTCGACAAATAAAAAATGAAACACCTGAAATTACATGAAACTCCACAGGAAATGCGGATAGTGTGGTGATGCAGAGACATTAATCGAATTATCTGCTATAACATGTAAAACGGGATCAAGAAAGGAACATTGAAAAAGCAACTCAGATTAATTCCATGTAATGTCCATGTCCATGTAAACGTAGTCACTGTTCATTGCTCCCTATATACTGAAAACCATTGACTTCCCCCCACTCACTGTTCTGAGTTTATATTTCACAATTCTGACTTGTGTCTTACATTCAGAAAAGAAAAGTGAGAAATAAACAGGAGTGTCTGAGGTCAAGTTCACCATCATTTCAGTTTCATTTATCTCACAATTTTAAAAGTTATCAGCCAATTCTGATGTTTTTTTTTCTAAAAATGAAAACTTTTTATAGGCTTTCTCTCAGCTCTAACTTTATCTCCAGCATGTTTGAGATTCTGACATTTCTGACTTCCTTTTTCTTCAGAAATTTGAGATATCCTAAAAATAGTAAGATAGTAAGATGTGTACAAAAAAAAGTTGGAATTGTGAAATGCCAACCTAAAACTTCAGAGAAGAAAGTCAGTACTGTGAGAAGTCACAATTAACTTTTTTAATTTCAGTGGTGAAAATCAGCTTAAATAACATATAGTAAACTTAATTCACAAGCATCTAGTGACATGCTTGGTTTGTTCAGGCAGTTTGTGTTTGCTTGAGGTAAACATGGCTATATATTTAATCAGTCACTCTAATGTGCGTCATTTCTTATGATTGATAAGAATATGTGTTACCTCTCTCTGTAGTCTGACCGTGTGCTGCTGTTGCTGCTCCAGCTTGGTTTTATAATGCTGGCAAAGAGAGCAGGGTTGCTCCTCTTCAGCCCTCTGAACACCATCTTCCTCTGAATCCACAGGAGGCTGCCGGCGGGCATAACCATGATCCCCCATGTTCAGCTCCTTTTCCACTACAATGATTACAGAATATACACAGGGTTACATTAAAAGGGACTGCTTACTGATTTTTTATTTTAAATAATTGTGGAGTGACATACCTCATGTGAAATAAAGAATGAAAAAAGGTACAATATCAAATCAAAATTAAACACACATAAATGTAAAGTTTTACTTAAAAATGCAACATATCTGTAGACAACACAAAAGCTTTTTGTCAGAGAACACTGATTTCTTTGGGAAATACAATAATTTTGCAAGAGAACGCAGTTTTCCCGCAACATTTGCATTTGCTCTCAAAACCATTAAACTATAATTTTTGTCCCAACTTATATTTTATCTCTAATATACACTAAATGTTATAATTTTGCTCATAAAATACTTTTGCTAAAGAGTCTAAATGTTTTTAAGCAAACATTTCTCTAAAAAGTATCAAACTTAGAGAACACAAAAGTGTAGTAAACAAATGCAAATAATCTTGGTGAATGCAATTCATCCACAAGAGAACACCAAATTGAGAAAATGTAAAGTTTTGGAGGTTCATGCAATATATCTTGGGGAAATTCAGTACTTTTGTGAGAAAACATGCAAGCGAATTAAGCATTTTGTTGGTGAAACACAACACTTTGCTAGAGATAAGCAAATGCAAAGATCCTGCAAATGGAAAGTTTCTAAAATAAAAGCAAAGTGTCTTGGGGAAATGCACAACTTGTTAGAGAAAATAATGAAGAGAGAACAGAGTTTCATGAAAAATCCAATGGGTTTGAGAGCAAATAGTTTCTGAAATAAAATGTCATTTCTTTTTTTCTAAAGAATGCAAAAGTTTAGCAAGCCAACACAAACTAATACAATTTAATACTTGACTTATACAAAAGAGAATGCAAAAGCCTTGCAATCAAAAATAAAACAGAAACAGTACTTTTACAGAAGAACACAAATGTTCTATGAGCAAATATAACACGTTTCTTGGAGAAATTAAATATTTTTGTTGAAGAAAAAAAAATGAGTCAATGCCAGATTCTAGGAAAGGTTTCCTTAAGAAAGTTGTTTTTTTTTTTGCTAGAGAATGCATACAATTTGTAGACAGATCAAAAAGTTTCTGTAAAATTTTTAAGAGTAAATGCAAGCTTTTTATGAGCAAATACGCATAGGCCTATTTTAAAAGTTTTATCAATCTTGCAGAAGAACATAAAACTTTGGTAAACAAATGCAAAGTTTCCCATGGACCATACATATTTTAAAAGAAACCTTATACCTCTGTGACCAAACTATAATATTACCTTTAATCTCATATGTCCTCTTAGAGGCTCAGCATTGATCAATTTACCTGGCTCATTTTTGACAGGTAACACTGCTTGAGGGGTGACAGGAGAGGGAGGGTCTGGCACATTGAACAGCGTCGGGATTGCGTTGGGTTTGAGTTTCCTTCCCCCTGCTGGTGATCTGGCGATCTCCTCAAACTGGCTTTCCTCAAAGTGGTCCTGCAAGTCATGGAAATGAAACTCTGTGACTAATTTATACGATTACAAAAGAGGATGTCTGAAGGCACATTTGTTTTCTTGTGCAGAGTGTTAAATGCGCACGCGTTTCACTTGCCTGGCAGAGTCTGGAGCAGGGAGTCGGTACAAAATCACGCCGACAGTTTACGAGCCACTTTCTCATGCGCACCGGGTCTTTCGGAAAGCGAAAAAGCTGCTTTCCAATAGTTGTAGAGTTCGAGCAGTTAGGAGCGGAGCATCCACCCATTTTTATTTACATTCGCCAAGTATTTAACTTCACATCTGTGCGAAACAACGATTATAAGTAGCGGTCTGCTAGCAGAGGACTTAGCAGGTGTATTATTAAAAACCCTTTAGACTTTAGAACAACAGACAGCAGTAGTTTTAGCAGACGTAAACAACGAGTTTACGGGCGGTCTCTTTAATTGATTTAGTTAAAAATGCGAATCTGGAAGACGAATATGTTTTACTAGTAAGTGAAATGCAGAGTTTGTTTGAGCCAAAATGGCGCCGATAACTTCGGCAAGAGACGTGATGACGTATTACGTGATAGAGGACTCTATCTTTGCCTGTGTGGAAATGGCTACGTTACGGCATGTATAATTTCCTTCGACGAAAAACAACCGTTTAAAATTGGTTTTACAATTCCACCACCGTTACTATTTGTTATTGTATTTAGGAAGTAACGTCAATTAAGATAAAGAAAAAAACGATTATAATTACTGTCAATAAACAACGTAAAATGTGCATAAACGTTTATTTTCATTTCATATTTTAAAGGTATTCGCATAAGTATTACAAAGATAATGTTACTTGTGCTATTTAAAATAGATGAATGTAATTTATTTGTGATCAGATAAGGTTTGAGTTTCGTAAACAAAAGATAAAAACGGTTCAAAGAGCAAAAGTTAATATAAAAATATTATTACTAACGTTACAGCTGTTAACATTAAACTTTTAGTTTTAGATGTCACATAAGCTATGTGTAACAGGTCAGATTGAAGTAGTATTGCCGTTAATTATTTTTATAACTAAAACTATTATATTTGCGTTGTGTTTTTGTATTAAAAGCTAAACCAATTTACAGTATTTTTGTCTCCAAACGTTATTCATTATACTCCATTCCAGTGGGTGGCGATAACAAACGTTATGAAAACTGCCATTAAACGTAGAAGAACCTCTAACCGGAAAGAAAACACACACACACACACACTCACGTTTCACAGGCGATGGGCAGAAGTGTGAGGGGTGCATTGAACAAACACACTAGACATTTAAAGTAGTAAATAAATGAACAGAGTGTAAAACGCGCGAAGTAGAGAGTTTGGACATGTTACGTTAGTTGACTTATTTTCGGTTATGGTTGTATTTGCTCTCAGAAATGATGTTTTCGAAAAGCCTACACTATCTGCATTGACAGGATCCTCTTTTTGTTTTAAATAATATTGGTGACGTAGACCCACATTTGTGACATAACAATAAAAAAAATAAAATCTCCGTTCAGCAAATGCGTGCTTTCGGTTAGTTTGTCCACAGAAATAATGTCGTCCTCAATGATAATCCCAGTGATTGATGTGCAGGGAAACAATTTTAAGGAGTTGTGGGCGGCGATGGTGATAGCCATTAAAACGTCTTCATTCATCGCCATTGATACGGTGAGAAAAACAACACTATTCCTTCAGAAACTCAACCGAAAGATAAATACTGTCACAAAGCAATGTGATCAATTTAATGTTATATGTCTTTTTTTTTTTTAGGAACTGAGTGGTCTTGGTTCAAGGAAAGCTCTTCTAGCTGAGTAAGTTGTGTGATTAAAAAAACTAAAACTAAAAGACAAAGTTTTTCTGGCCTTTTTTATTTTTTAAGGCCTCGTTTATGTCTTTGGATCTAACATTTGTAAATAGAATTAAACGTTGCATAAAATAATAGTTTCCTCAGTATTTTTTGTGCAATAAACTATCTTAACATATTTAAAAGAACATTTATTAGAGGTGTAAAATGAAGAACTTGGGTTTTGTTTTCCTAAAATTGTACTGATGCATGAAACAAGGATATCTGTCATTAGATAACAGTTCAGTTCAAATTTGTAGATATTTCTTATTTTAATCAAGAACTTCATTTTCCTTTGTTTCATTTTTTTAGTTATCGCAATAGTTGTACTATAGTGTGTTTCCCATGTAAATGCGGAAATGTCTTGATGTACAGCAGAAATCTGTTCTGGGAAATAAGACAGAACAGTGTTCTCCCTACATATTTACTTTTTAAAATGTAGTAATTAATGCAGCAAAAATGTGTTCCCTTCAAATTATTCATTACATTTGCATTACTTTGTCTCAAATAGACATTTTTTCCCTTTAAAGGTCGATTGAAGACAGGTACAATGCCATATGCCATGCTGCCCGCACCCGATCTGTACTGTCTTTGGGGTTTGCCTGTTATAAGGAGCTTGAAAACAAAGTAAGGGTGTCTACTTGACAGTCTGTTTTCTTCTGAATATAAGCGGACATTAGACTAATTCTTCTTGTTTGTGTCATACTTCTAGGCCGAGACCACTTACCTGGTCCAGGTTTACAATCTTACCTTGCTTTGCTCGGAGGAATACATCATTGAACCGCAGTCAGTGCAGTTCCTTGTGCAACATGGATTTGACTTCAACAAACAGTATGCTGAAGGCATTCCTTATTATAAAGGGAATGACAAAGTATGTATTACTGAATGTTCTGTTCACTTCCAGTATATAAATTTCGATGATTAATAAATCAATATCAAATGGCCCCCTAAAAGTCACGTATCGCTTTCAGTTTCGGGCTTAGGCACATTTTGCACTCACACACAAGAGTGCCGCGCTGAAGCCCAAGTGAACCACGCTCAGGCACACCTTTTCCAACCGGGCCAAGGCCGGCCAAGTGAACCATGCCTAATCCCGATTCAGCGCACTCACACTTCTCAAATGGGGAAATGGGCCTGAGCACGGTTTGGATAGCATAGTGTGAGTAGGCCCTTAGATGACATCAGAGAACTCTCTCATCCTCTATATCAGGGGTCACAAATCTCGTTCCTGGAGGTCTGGTGCCCTACAGGGTTTAGCTCCAACTTGCCTCAACGCTTCTGCCTGGGTGTTTCGAGTATACTTAGTAAGACCTTGATTAGCTTGTTCAGGTGTGTTTGATTAGGGTTGGAGCTAAAATCTGCAGGACACCGGACCTCCAGGAACAAGTTTGGTGACCCCTGCTCTATGGGAAATCCAGAAAAAGAACAAATAAAAATGTTAAAACATTCCAAATTACTTCAGTGGATCAACTGTAATCATACAAAATTAGGTTTTTTTTTTTGGCCAGTTTAATGTATGGAGTCAGTATCTTGACAAACAGATGTCATATTGCCTATAAGAAATGCACAACTTGATCTGAAGATGTACTTAGATACACATGGTAATTTTTACTTTTTGTGTGTGTGTGTGTGTGTGTGTGTGTTTTTGCAGTTTAGAGTAAGTAATAACATTTTCATTTTTGGGTGAACTAAAACTTCATGTTTTTTAAGTAATATGCAGGATTTTTCTCTAAATAGTGAAGTGCAGTGGTTTGAACTAAAAACTGCAGTTTCTAGTATGTTTAATGGATTCTACATAATGCAAGCAGAGGAATAAGTCTTATCTTGTACAACAATGGGCCATTCAAAAAAAAAAAATGAATATAATTTTATATTTCAAAAGCGCATCTAGGACTAGTTCTGCAAGCTTTTCTGGGTAACAAGTATATAGATTGATTTTTAATTTATTTTTTATTTTATTTTTTTTTTTACAAAGAACATTGCAGTTTGTTTTCTTCCTCTTGAAGCTTTATCAAAACTGTGATTTGGATCTTCAAACCACTGAACACCATAAACCACTTTATGATTTAAACATGAATATATAAAATAAATGAATTTTATGAAGTATATTGGCAAAAAGGTTAGGGGTTGTTCACACAAAAATTCTCATCATTTACTTTCCCTCCATTTTTACCAAACCTGTTTGAATACCTTTTTTCTTTTCAACACACACACACACACACACACACACACACACACACACACACACACACACACAAAATATGTTTTAAAAAATGCTGGAAACAGCCCTTGACATCCATAGTATTTTTTGTTCTTACTATGAATGTGAATGTCAGCTGGCCTTCAACATCATTTAAAATATCTTTTTGTTCACCACAAGAATTTAATAAAAGTAAATGGCGATGATTTTCATTTTTGGGGTTTTAAACTGTTTAATTTAATTTCTTCTTAACTAATGAAATAAATACATTAATAATCTTGGTAATCAAGGAGGTGAGTAAAGTAACAGGCAATTTCTATTCAGGAAGTGAAGGAATCCTTTAATAAAACATGTCAACATGATGATTTTTGAATTATTTACCTGTGTTTTGTGCTTCTATTAGGGAGGCGATGCCCATGGGGTAAACATACGGTCATTATTTGTCGAACTTCTCAGAGCCAACAAGCCCCTGGTGCTCCATAACGGACTGATAGACCTGGTCTTCTTGTATCAGTGTTTCTATGCCCATCTGCCTGATCGTCTGGGCACCTTCACTGCCGATCTCTCCCAGATGTTTCCCTCAGGAATCTACGACACAAAGTATGCAACAGAGTATGAGCTGAGGTTTACCGCCTCCTACTTGGAGTATGCCTATAAGAAGTGGTATGTGGAATCTCAATGTCAGCATCTCAGAATTACAATCAAGTTATGCGACTGAAATCTAAGGCATCTTCTTTGTCCCTCACAGTAAGCTGGAAAATAGCAAAGCCATTGAAGCAGAAGGCAGTGGGAGTAACCTGTTCGTGGAGTTTTGTAAATACACAGGCAACATGGAGACCTACATAGACTACAGGCCTTGCTTGGACAGCCAGAGTCAGGATGATGGAGCCCTCAACATATGTGTTCAGTTCTCCGTGAGTTCCTCAAATCCCCTAGATGGCACCACTCATAGTTTTCCATTAAACTGCATTATATTTGTATGCATTTTATTAATCTATTTTATAACTTAACCATAGGCTTCAATGTGTTTTCTCCAACAAACTTTCTATTCAGCAAAGAAATTCAGCAGCAAAACTATGGAGCCAGATCAGTCTCAAAAATAATCTACAAAATATAATTCATACATCCACAATTCACATTTACAAAATCCAATTTGTAAGTTCAAAACCCAATTTGTAAATGCACAAACCCAATTCATAACAAAATTCATAAATACACATTAAATTTGTCAAATCAAAACACGATTAATCAACACAGAACCCAATTCCTGAATTCAACGCACAATTCATAAAATAAACAAATCCAATTCGTTTGGCGAAAATATTTATGATTGTTACATCTAAATTCACAAATTGTGTGTTGTATTTATGAATTTTGAATTTACAAATTGGGTTTTGTAAATGTAAATTGTGCTGTCCAACAGCAAGAAGGTCGGTGGTTCGAGCTTCGGCTGGGTCAGTTGGCGCTTCTTTGTGGAGTTTGCATGTTCTCCCCATGTTCGCATAGGTTTCCTCCAGGTGCTTCGGTTTCCCCAACTGCTTTGATCAACATTAGAATGATTTGTGAAAAATTCAGCTCTGAAATCACAGTAAATAGTTTTTAATATATTAAAGTACAAAAAAAGTTTAATTGTGTTAAATTAATTAAAAGAATACACAAATAAATACAAGATAAGTGCTACACCACAGAAATTCCAATGAATAAAAGATTAAAAAATCTTAATTTTTTTATTTATATATCACTTCATTTATAATACATACTTGATGCACAAATATATTTGCACATCAAATACTAACATTATTGTATCATTTTTACCATCAAGTACAATCAAAGCATGTATAAATAATGATAATGCTTAAGTTTAGGAAGTAGTCATACTGTAATATGTTTACTAAGTTGATTATAAGGATGTTATGTAACTTAAACTTTATTGATTTACAGTTTCCTTTAATGTGAAATAACTCCAGTTATGTGTTTCTGCAATCTGTTCTGTTTTCATAAAATCTGTTTGTACCTTTTTCCACACAGCCTCAATTCTCATGCTAAACAAAGAAAACAAAACTGACTTTTAAAATTAAAATTCAGCTCATTAATCCTGTATCCAACTTGTTGAATATTAAAACTGATGAATAGATGACCTCGATAGGAGATGATCAGCGATAACAGTGACACAAAGTAACGACATGAGTGTTGTGAGGTCTTTAACTAACACACTCATGGTTTTATTACTTAAAGTGATAGTTCACCCAAAAAAAGTACATTTGCTCACTATTTACTTACCCTCAATTGGTTCGAAACCTTTGAGTCTCTTCTAACATTTCACAACATATTAAGATATATTGTGAAAACAAAACAAACAAACATTGACTTCCATAGTAGGAGAAACAAATACTATGGCAAGTCCATGGTTACATGTTTCCTGCATTGTTCAAATGTCCACCTTTGTGTTCAGTAGAAGAAGCTCAAAAGGTAGTAAACGATGACAGAATTTAACATTTTGGGTGAACAATCCCTTTAATCAATGAGGATGCTATACTACAAAGTGTTGTGAATGACTTTTGGTTATGTTGTTCTGCTCTGCTCTACTGTTAGGCTTATGGATGGTGTCCTAATGGCTCCCAGTGCCCCATGTCACACAACACGGACCTTATAATCCAGCAAGATGAGAAGACCAGAGAAGACAAGAGGAAGAAGCGGAAGCGCAAGAACAAAAAGAAAGGCTCTCAGGGACCCCCAGAAACATGCAGTTCCCCGCAGGGCAAAAGAACACACTTTGAAGAAGCCGAGCTGGACCAGGCTGTGCCCACATCTGAACATCAAGAGAAGACCCTGAATGCTGAGCCAACAGACGAACCTGGAAAAACAGCCAGCAACAATGGAGATGAGCAATCCCAGCCAGAAGCATCTACTGAAGCTCAGGAGAAACCAAAGGGGAAGAAAGTGGAAGGGGGTACTCACAGAGCAGGGTTCGACGCTTTCATGACAGGGTATATTTTTGCGTATGCTAGAAATTTGATGAAAAACAAAGAAGAATCCAGCAGCACTCCTGTCATTTCTACATGTCTAAATAAGCTGTTTCTCAGCGGCAAGTCTGTTCCTCTGCATGTGGCCAAAAGCACCTTTTCCAAATCTTCAAAGGCTCATGTGCAGAAGATGGCCTATGTCTGGGGGAAAAGCATTGATGTAAACATGGAAAAAAGTGCATAGATTCTTTTCATTTTGTGTACAATTTTTGGACAAATAAAATGAACTTTTTCCCAACATTTTTCCCTTCTAATTTAATGTAAATTTGGATGAAAACAGTGTGATGACATTTAAAAAAAAACATTTAGCACTGGTTTTGGTGTCGTTTAAGGGCACTAATATTTTCACAGGTTGTTATTGTTTAATCAATATCAACATAAATATATATTAATTCCCAGTTTTAATTGTCAAGCACGTGGTAAATTATGAAAAGTAAGGTAATTTAATCAAACTCCCTTTTTAAAGCAAGAAGGTGGGCTTTATTCACCATATATTGATCAATAATAGGCTACTGTACTAGTAGGCGGGGCTTTCTTCACCATACTTACCATTACACTTTTCCCCATTCAAAAAAATACGAGTGACATGTCTTGTTGAGATAACCCAGTATACCATTAAGAATGACCTAGTGTAAAATAGTCCAAGTGAGAAAATGTGTTAGACAATATATCTATCTATTGTAATGTAATCTTTAAGATACATTAAAAAGCAAGGTTGATATTTTATCTCTCTCTCTGACTAATCATTGAGCAAAGTCGGGGTAAAAATCAATAGGACATTTTAAATTTATTTTAAACAAATGGGAATACACACATATGCATTTAAACAAATAAAGCCATATAAACTTGGAAAAGTCCTGATCTGTCATTTGGTAGAAATATACATCTCTGATTCAGTTACAAATCTACAATCTAAAAAGTGTTGAGAAACGGTCAGGACTGAAAAAAGCTGAAAAACTGAGTTAAAAATAAACTAGCAGGAAAAAAGCTGATGATTTTCAACATGTACAGAAAACTATTCATCAGCTCATATAAACAACAACAACAGCACAATATGAACAGTTCACAGACACGAAGACATAGTAAAATTACTTCCTTCCTCTTTATAAATATCAAAATAAATCCTCTCTATAAAACTATCATGCCTTGGTTATATTTATTGCATAGAAATGTAGTGACAAATAATAGATTAAAAAAAGTTCAAACCATTAACTTATTTTTTTTTTCAAGTGCAATTACGATTTTAAGTAGATGCCAACATGGACTTCGACGTAAAAGGTCAAAGACTGAAAAAAAGATCCTTGTGAAATTACCATGGCACACACCGTTAGCGAAGGATCATAATATTTTAAGATGCGAGACGTCGTGGAATGTATGCTGTATATTATCAGCTAGGCCCGTGCAGTGCAAGACACTCAATCACCTTTCTCCAAGAGATTTCTTCTTTGTTTACTTCTGAAAAATATTTAAGCATTTAGAAATGGCCAAAGCTGCTCACTGATCATATGGGTTGGATACAGTTTGTGGACAAACCCGAAGGGGAAAACAGCATTTCTGGTATGTGCAAGCAAAAGCATGAAAAAAAAAAAAATCTCAGAGAAGGTGTCTCATCATTAGTCCTGTGTGAAGTGACGTCTGCTGTCTCTACATAGTGTGATGGGGATCTACTAACGGTGATCAGTGTTTCACATCAGCCTCCTGCTCAGTCTAAGCCGCCCTTTTAGCTTAAGTTACAAGGAACAGTATTTACAACTCATAAATATTTAAGGAATATAATCTCTGTTCGCGTGGCATCTGATCAGTCAAGTCCTCAATGCGCTCTTTCTTCAGTCATCTAGATGTCACATCTGGAGATGCGTTCCCCTGAAGACGAGGCTTTGCAGGCCGTCAGGACTATAGGACAGAGTTCCTGCGGCTCCACAGACATGCTCAGTGTGAGCGAGTTCTTGTTGGTGACCAACACGCCATCTTGGTCTTCAGCCTCCATGTCCTCACAGAAACCGTTGTGCATCTGGTTGAGGGTGGAGTCTTTATCGTCTGCAGGGCTTCCTCTGCTGCTGGAGCAGTCCATGGCTTCAGTTTCTCCTCCATCTGAAGGAATCAGAGAGGACCAGTCCTCAGTCGCTTCCAATTCCTCTTCTCTGTCTGCTCTCGGCTTGTATGGAGGGATTTCGGTTACGGTGAACTTCTTAGCCCAGCTGTTTAGAGTTCTTTGTCTGCTTTCACCGTTGGGTTGTGCTGCTTCGCTTTTGGATGCGGGATGAGATGAGAATAAGAATTCTGAATGGGGCAGTTGAGGAGAGACGGGGAGCGAGCGGCACTGTCGGCCGGGCAGCTGCCAGGGCTCTGGCCAGTTGTTGGCTCCGCTGATATTGGGTTGCGGCTGTTGTGAGCTTTGACTGCCGTGTGGTGAGTGCAAATCAAACATGAGCGAGAAAACGGATTTGCTGGGCATGTCGTAGAACTTGATCTTGCCACCTTTTAAGTCCTCTCTGGCGCTGAAAGGATTGACTTTCGGTAGGCCGTGAATAAAGCCTCTAGGTTCGGGGTTGTAGAAAGGGTCCTGGACGTTCACTTTGCGCGCTGGTTTGCGAGCGAAAATGTCAGACTGGCTGCGGGAAAGCCAGATGTTGCGACGTGGACGGGGGGATTTGGGGGGAATCTTGTCATCCTGAAAACCAAGCGGATTTAACCTCTTTATGCCCTTCTCTCCAGGACCTAGAACAAAAGTGAACAAGATTGAGAACACATTAGTGATTCTATTCTGCACTGTACTATTGTGTGTACTTATTATGTCATTGATAGTCAAGGTCTGAAACTCAGGTTTCTCATGAGCGAAAGTAGTCATAGTTGGGTAAACTTAGTAATTCCTTGCATTTATATAGAGCTTTTCCAGACACTCAAATAGTTTTTACACATTTTTTTTTTCCACCATCAGTGTGCAGCATCCACCTGGATGATGCGACGGCAGCCATATTGCGCCAGACCAGACAACACACATTAGCTGATTGGTGGAGAGGAGACAGAGTGATGAAGCCAATTATGATATGGAGGATGTTAGGTAGGCCATGATGAACAGAGACCAGTGGGCAAAATTTTACAGAGAGTCATGACCTCCGTTTAACATGTCAGATGTAAGACTGCGCTCACTAAGCAATATACTGAAGGTATTAGGACCTACACAGACCGCAGGTTGAGCGCCCCCTACTGGTCTCACTTACACCACTTCCGGTATAAACCTAGCTTTCCCATGTGGTTTCCCATCCAGGAACTTACCGGGTGCAGCCCTGCTTAGCTTCCGTGGGCGACCGTGTGAGTTGTAGAGAGCTAGATGCCGGCAAGTGCAGTGAATGGGAGAGTACAACAAATATTTTTTTTACAATCTTATTTGCTGAAATAACAAATGCAAAAGTTGACAATGGTGTTATCAAGACTTTCAGAATAAGGAAAAAAAAAATAGTGTGAGACTGATAACAGAAGGCAGAAGAGAGAATAGCATTGAATTTACTGTCCTGTCCATAGACGCTGCATTAGAAACACCTCGCACAATCAGTAAATCATTTATTGTAATTTGATGCAAAGATTATATGATATGTAAATTATTATTAGAGATGCTCCGATCGATCAGCCAAAGATCGGTCTCGGCTGATAATCACATTTAATGACTCGATTAGTACTCTCTGATCTGGCCAATCTCATGAACTGATCACAAGTGTTTGTGTTAGCTGGAGATGAGCAAAATATTTGAATGACCATGCATGTGTTTAGGCCTTTTAACATATAAGAACTGAAAGAACTTCTGTGTTTTTGACAATATTGTTCAGTAAAACCTGGCTGGAAATATTACATAAAACATAATTTTTTTTCATGAATAGTTAATAATAAAACTTCTTGTAGCATACTTATTGCAATAAACAGTAGTTTATAGGCCTGTTTCCTTTGAGTAAAGAAGTAATGGATGTATAAGTGTGCATTTGAACTTTTTATGCATCAAATATGCGCAACAAACTTTTTTTTTGGTTGAGACGTGTTGAATTCTTCTTTCATCATTTGCAATGTTTCCAAATTATATTGTTTGTCATTTTTTTTTTACCAATTTTTAAATTAGTTTTATCTATTTTCAGTAAAGCTGCTTGTGACCATGCATGTTCACACCTAAATAGTTATAATAGATGTGTTTATGGTATTAAATGCAGCATTTTTCATTTATTCTCTTAGTTAAGGAGAGATCTCCACTTAAGTATCATACATAAAGGGAAAATGTGCTTTATGCATAAAAAGGCTTGAAGCATTAGAATCAGTACTCCGCATTGGCCAAACACGATGACAATGAATTGGTACTCGGTATCAGCTGCAAGAATCCTGATCGGAACATCCCTAATAAATACATATAAATGTTCATAAGCTTAAAAATCTGAGAATTGAAAACTTTCACATTTAAGATGCTGATTGACTGTTAAACGCATCAGTAAAGTCTTGTGAAAAGAGTCCATTCAAGGGACATTTAACGTGAAAAGAAACATTTAGTCAACATTTACTGCTGAACATTCTGTTGAGAACATTCTGCTAAACTAAAAACCGCTAAACTTGGCTATCTTCAATCCCTAATATTAACTCCTGTATAGCAGTTCCACAACATTGAGACCCTATGACACTCAAATGTCACTCAAAAAGGGTGCCAGAAAAGTCTAGTGGCTGGGAATGAGCTTTTTACAGTGTCTGCTATAATGTTAATGTTGTTTTTGATGTGTTTGCATAGATGAATATGGACACGGTGTAAATGCACAGTATAGGTAGGATCTTATTGCCACATTAGATCGTTATGATAACATAATATATGCCTCAGTGATTTCCTGTAGATAAATACCAAAAAAATAACACAACTGCAGTCGAGATCCTCTGATCTCATATGAAGAAAGAGATCTCGATGACATGGGCAGGTGTTGTAGTACTATCCTATTTCATAGGTGGTAAATGTTGAAGCCAATCCCCTTCACACTCTGTTTCAAAGGGAAGGGGCAGGGGTACAAAAATAGAATTGGGATTGGGCCTTATTTAATACAGAATTTTCATTTTTTAAGTAAACTATCCCCTTGAAGTTACAACAGCTAGTGCATGAAACGTCCAACAAGCCACATTTGTGTGTGTGTGTGTGTGTGTGTGTGTGTGTGCGCGCATGCGTGCGTGCAAGTATCATCAGTGTATTTAAAGTGCATATATTCTTGGAATTTTCAGTGCAAACCCACAACTGGCACTGTTTATGCTTAGAATGGAATAGAATTGCAATACACCATAAAGATTAACATTAAGCACATCAAGTTGTCATAAGTGAGATCAATCCGAGTTTCCACGTTCAGTGTGAAAGTATGCATGCAATCTTTAACCCTGCATAATTAATAAAAATTTCTCTTGCAGCTAATTTTTTGCCCACAAGATGGCAATAATGCCACAGAGACAGCAATTCACAACACGGCTGGAGAAAGAAAAAATATATAAATAAATAAATGTGAGGGAGAGTAGTGAATATAACAGATGTTTAGAAAACTTGCTTAAAAACTATATTTTACTATATTATTTTTTTATTTATATTTTTACTAGTCACCAAACATTACACTCTCACTTATGCTTTAAAGCAGGCATGACCAACCCTGTTCCTGGAGATCAACCTTCCTGCAGATTTCAGTTGCAACCCATATCAAGCACACCTGCCTGTAATTATAAAGTGCTGTTCAGGTCCTAATTAATTGGCTCAGGCGTGTTTGATCAGGGTCGGAGCTGAACTTTGCAGGAAGGTCAATCTCCAGAAACGGGGTTGAGCACCACTGCTTTAAAGAGATAGTTCACCCAAACATTTACTCACATTCAAGCTAAACCTTTAAGAATTTCATTCTTCCCAAACATTTACTGACCATTTACTCACATTCAAGCTAAACCTTTAAGAATTTCTTTCTTTTGTTGAGCACAAAACAATATACAGTTGAAGTCAGAATGATTAGCCCCCCCTCTTTTTTTAAATATTTCCCAAATAAAGTTTAACAGAGCAAGGAAAATTTTACAGTATGTCTGATAATATTTTATCTTCTGGAGAAAGTCTTATCTGTTTTATTTCGGCTAGAATAAAAGCAGTTATTAACTTTTTAAAACATTATTTTAATAACAAAATTATTAGTCGCTTCAAGCTAACTTTATCCAATAGTCTACAGAACAAATCATCATTATAAAATATCTTGCCTGATTACCCTAACCTGCCTAGTTAACCTAATTAACCTAGTTAAGCCTTTAAATGTCACTTTAAGCTGTATAGAAGTGTCTTGAAAAATATCTAGTCAAATATTATTTACTGTCATCATGGCAAAGATAAAATAAATCAGTTATTAGAGATGAGTTATTAAAACGATTATGTTTATAATTGTGTTGAAAAAAATCTTCTCTCCGTTAAACAGAAATTGTGGAAAAAATAAACAGGGGGGTGAATAATTCAGGGGCCTAATAATTTTGACTTCAACTGTACTCTAAACAATGTTGGAAAAAAAAACAGCCACTGACATCCACAGTACAACAACAACTACTATGGAAATCAATAGTGGTTTCTCCAACATTTTTAGTATATCCTCCTTTGTGTTCAACAGAACAAAGAAACTCAAGCAGGTTTGGAACAAGTTGAGGTAAATGATGACAACTTTCACTTTTGGGTGAAGTATTCCTACAAAGCATTAACTGTGAACACTAGGGGGTGACAAAATCTGCAACATAAATTCAACTGAAGCAAAAAGCACAAATATTAATCTTCTGAAAGCTAAAAAGCACTTTGTAAAATGTTATAAAATTCAGATTTGTGGCTTCAGAATTATTTCATGCCATTATCAATGCTTTAATGTTGCTGTAAGCAAAAAAAAAAAAAAAACATTTTCACTTACTGAAAATGTAAATATTGTTACAGTCAATATTTTCCAATGTAATGTCTCTTTGCTGAATATAATTATCGCCTTACTGACTGTGGACTGCTTCAAAAAGCCTCTAATCTCTCATGGTCACACATTGTTTTGTGACTCATTTCTAGCTCGCTCAGGAAATGAATTAGCACTAAACGGAAACAAGGCTGTGAGATTGCAAAGTAAAAGCTCCGAGATGGAAGTCATTCCCAAAAGGAAAGAACAACCAATCCGAAAGCTCATTGACAGCCATCATTAAACGCTCTCCAATCCTGCAGGTTTTCCAGTCTCCGTGTTCTGCAAACTCACTGGCTCCGTTGTATTACACACAAAAAAGCGAGTGCTGGATGATATGAGTGAAGCCTTAGGGGGCGACAGGATGTACTAGCGCTCTGTCAAAGCGACTCACATCAAAGATTCATTCAAAGCACATCAAAGCTTTTGGTTTGGCGCCAGAAATGGTGATCCACAGATGAAAAAGAACACCTGTAGTTTTCATGCGCATATTGACAGTTTGCAGGTTAGCCGAATCGATACTTGGGAGTGTGATGGATATGTGAATAAACACAAACCTTTAGGGATGGGTTTCTTCTCCACCTCTCCGGCGGTTAGTAGCATCCTCTCCCTGTCAGATTCTTCCGCTTTCAGCTTTTTCTGGATCTCTTCCAGCCTCTTTACTATATCTGGGAAGGAGGGCCTGAGCTTTGGATCCATCTGGGATATATGCAGAGGCAACAACAACATAAAAACACATGAGCATCTAAATCTGGAGGAGCGCCATGTTCTTGCTTCTATTCTAAGAATTCTACTCTGCACATATCTTTAATGGTGGGAGAGTTTCAATTTTTGTGCTGAAGACACCTAACCATGTTGTGTTTACGTGCTATACGCATATATACATGTGCTACATATATTACCGGCAATGTGTGAAATCTCAGTATTATATAGAATACCTAGGAAATGTATAGAATGCCTGATTGTTTTAGGCAAAGAATGAAATGTCATTTTTTTTTTCTTTTTAAGATTTTGCACACTTTTCCTAGGTTTTCAATACAATTCCTAGTCATTATATAGAATGAGAAGTACCATTTAGGCAAAGTGTCAGAAGAGCACAACAAAAGCCTTTATCATAGTTTGATCATTACGTATTTTAAAGTGGAAGGAATGCGAAATAAAGCATATGATGTTCTTACTGGAAAACAACAATGACAGCAGAACTGAGATTGAAGTATTGAAGTATATACCACTTTATATTAAGTGGCCTTAACTAATACAATGTACTTACTGTCCTCATAATGTATTGTAGAACACTTCTGGTGATCTTGAGGTGTTATACGGGTAGGTTTAGTACATGTTTGGAGGTATGGGTAGGTTTTAGGGTGGGTTAAAGTGGGATGGTCAACAGTTTAATTAAAGGTGTATTAACAAAAATGAATTACAGATGTAACTACATGCAGGTGTTTAATCAGTCATAAGTACAAATGTAAAACATGTATTTATACAAGTAATCATAACAAATGATTCATTTCAGTGTAACTACATATTAGTTAAGGCCACTTTATATAAAGTGGGACTGAGGTATTTGTTACACTATTCTCTGTGATGTAGTAGTGGAATCTCATACCGGCAATATGCTCTTACATTAATGTTCAACACTTCCATCATAACAACCATCATCGAACAACGACTAAAGCCCACCACCAACATCAGTGGCAGGAAAAATGGCAGGGATAGAGCAGTTACATGCTTTAGTGCAAGGCAACTCTGCATTCTATGGAATGCCAAGGCAATGTATAAAGTAGCAATCATTTCATAATTTGACTTTCGATTTTAGGCATTCTGGACATTTCCTAAACATTCTATAGAATGCCAAATTTCACACATTGCCAGTAACATATATAATATGTGATTTATTTGATTGGGTAACAATTTTAATTTTATTTTTAAAGTAACATTAATAACATTGGGATTGACACAAATTGTAAATACTTTTTAAAGAATTATCTTAGACTTATCTGCATTTATTTGATAACAAACTACAATAAAATCAGCATTATTCAGAATTATTATTACAATTTAAAGTCAATATTTAACAATGAATTAATTAATGAATTGCCAGCCGCCATTACTTCAATCTTTAGTGTCACATGATAATTCAAAATCGTTCTTTATCTTAATGATGAAAAAAGATACCGATTAATAGTGTTATGGAAATCACAATACTCTTTTTCAGAACTGTTTGATGAATAGAAAGTTCATAAGAATAGTTCCTTTATTTTATTAAGTTACTTTTTGGTAAATCATGTCCTTTTTGATACATTTAATGTCTTTGCTTAATTAAAGTAGCAATAAAGTGGCAAAGCACCAGCAAACAAACAAACAAAAAAAAAAAACATACTGACATCCACTTCAATATATAAAAGTATTGAAAAAAGAATGTCTATGAACAGTAAATGCCATTGTAGAAATAAACGGCTGCTTTAATTATTAAATAATAAAACATGTTAAACTATTTTACTGTATTTTTGATCAAATAAATAGTGAGAAAAGGTTTGTCTTAAAAAATAATAATAATAAAATAAAAAAAACACTTACTGATCCCAAACTGAAATCAATTAAATGACATTAAACGTAAAATGGAAATCACGTGTGTTAATAATACAGTATTCAGAGCTTTCTCAAACAAATCGATAATGGATTGTTGAATGAAACTCTCACATTGCAGCAGTTGAAGGCGAGCTGAAGGAAGTCAGCAGGACAATCTCCAACCATGTGCTGAAAGGCGTGATAATCCAGACCAAAGTTCTGCAAGGAGTGCATAAAGTGGTAAAAGTCATACTCGGGACAAAGACTTTATGGCACATGGTTTCAAAGTTTTTTTTCAAGACACTTATTGCTCAGGTTTATCACTGCTGCTAGGCACTCACTTCAGTGCGTGGCAGGTAGTCTGGGTCAGCCTGTATCCTTGCAATGATTTCGCACAGAATAATGCCATACGAAAAGACATCAGCCTAAAAAATGAATGAAGAAAAATTACGAAATGTATCCTAGAAAATCCAAGCTAAATACAAGGTTTGTGATAGTGCCTATTTGAATGAAGCCAAGAATGGAACCTTTTCGTTGTACGGTTCGTCTCTCAACACTTCTGGAGCCATCCAGAACGGGGATCCCACCACAGATAGCTTCTCCCCCTCATAACTTAACACACAGAATAGTGGTTAAAACTACAATCTAACAAAGTATAGCTAAAAGAGATGAACAACTAAACAAAATTAGCAATTAAAAAAAAAAAAGATTTGTTCTTTTTCTATAGGTTGCAGCATCCTGGATAAGAACAAGTGCATGCCGTTTTGATGAACAACATGACACATAAATCCTCTTCTACCTGTAGTGCACATATAGCTCAAGCTTATATTATGTAATTACAGTCATAAACATGCTACGGACTGTTTGCTAAGGCGTTGAATTAATTACAATAATGCTATAAATAAAGTTCAGTTTATTGCTAATCTTTTCTCATCATACATTAAGCATGTATCGTCAAGCCACAGCTATTAATTTATTATTAATCAGGTGTAAGATGAGCTAACCTGCTGTTTAATAGAAATGTCAAGTAAGACTGTCAAACTCAAAGGTTATGCTGTTGGTGGATGTACGTAAAGAAACTGCACCTCTAAAAATTATAGTCTTTCTGAAGATCCAAGCATTAAAATTGTATGACTGAAATGTATTTTTAATGTACCACAGTGACCTAAAGATAAAGTTTTTATTTGTACTTTATATTTCATAACAGACAGTTTTGTGAATTATTCTCAACATGCTGCCAGATCTTTTATTATTAAAAGATGCTGCGATGCCAAGCGTTTTGTCCTCAGGGCATCGGGGCCAAATATTTTATTTTAAATCTTACACCTTGTTTCTAATAAACCTCAAAACTGCATTTAAAACTATGAAGCATCTAGAGCTTGGACTTTTAATAAAGGGAGAAAATGTTTTGCACAAAAATGCACTAAAAGGTTTTACAGGTTTGAGGGTGAATATGTGATAAGGCTTCATAATATGTAGTTCAAAATGATGACCATATTTAAAAGATACATGTAGGTCGAGACCCTGGAATTTGGCTCGTTTCAGTTGCACTCCATCTAACCATATTTTTTTAAAACAAAAATGCAATTCATGTTTGCTTTTTTTTTATAATAAATTGAGGTATCCAACTGAGGTGTGGAGAACCAGAAATCAGCCTAATTATACAGTGAAGCCCAAAATAGTTTATACCACTCGCTAATTCTGACTTTTTGTTCAAATGTAAATAAAAGCTGAGAAATACAGCAGGGAATATAAAGAAGTATTGAACATGTCACCATTTTTCTCAAAAAACATATTTCTACAGGTGCCATTGACTTGAAAATTCCCCCAGATGTTAGTAACAACCAAAGAAATCTATTTATGCAAAGAAAACAAAACTAATTCGCTTACAAATTAAGTTGTGTGTAATAAAATGAAATGACCCAGGGAAAAAAGTATTGAACACGTGAAGAAAGGGAGGTGTAGAAAGACAGTGAAAGCCCAGACAGCAACTGAAATCTATCAGTACAGTAGTTATTCAGCAACCCTCTTTCCCTGTTGTCATTGAAAATTAATATTAGCTGCTTCAGTTTAACATCTACATTACCAGGATGATGAAGATAAAACCAGGGTGGACATTTCAGCAAGACAAGGATCCAAAACACAGTCAAGGAAACTCTTAAATGCTTTCAGAGAAAGAAAATAAAGCTGTAGATTGGCCCAGCCAAAAACCTGACTTGAATCCAATAGAAAATACCAAATAAAGATCAGATTTGATTGACGAGACCCAAGGTCTGTTGAAGTCTGTGAAAAACTCACACCCGAGCAATTCATGTGACTTCATTCTCCATTTGAGAGGTGACTTTAAGCTGCCATTACCAAAAAAGACTTTAATATAAAGTATAAAATACATTTCAGTAGTTCAACACATTCCCCTGGTGTCATTCCATAGTTATTACACAATTAATCTTTCAATTTTTTTGGTTTAGTTTTACGTTCATGTTAATATTGTTTGGATTTTAACCAAAATCTGGTCCAATTCCATGTCATTAGCTCCTTTAGAAATATTATTCCTGAAAAAAACGTTCAATACTCATTTTCCCCGCTGTGTTTATTCCACAATAATGCCTCTTGTACATCATCTAATTATCTTTTCAAGTAAAATTTCATTTCCAGTAAAAAAAAAAAAACTTGATGGTTGAATAAAAGTAATTTTGGAGGTCTGAATTTGCCAGGATTATGAATAATTTCAGGCTTGACTGATTATAGAGTGATTAATCGACTAATGGTACAGGTAAACATACAACTACCCAATTTTAAAAATATGTGGCAAAGCACTAGTGGTGAGGAGGTCATGAGAGAGAAAGGGTCTTCTGGTATTATTAGCTCTCTTAAAAGTTGACTTTGGACGGTATGTTCCTTCCGAATCAGATAGCACAACCCCCTGCCAGTATGCTTGCATCGCGCCATTGCTTCCTCTGAAGCTGCCATGAGCGAAAGAACTTCACCGTTTTACATTTACATCGCATTTCCATTTACAGCTATATTGGGCACATGGGCATTGGAATGAAATGACTGCGAGCGCATGTTTAACTCATTTTGTATTCTCAATGTTGCCTGTTACTCACTCGTGACTGGGGATTTTCTCAGCAAGGCCGAAGTCTCCGACGATCGCAGTGTAGCCGTTCTCATCAGACTTGATCAGGCAGTTCTGAGAGCACATCAAAAGGAAAGAAACGGTAACTAGGAGAACGCATGGCTCCTCCCGCAGGATCTCTTACACTAGAGAATCAGTCAATTAGAATCACTTAAACAGAAAGTAATGATGTAGCGGAGAAGCCACGGGGGTGATTCCCACAGCATACAATTAGGGGAAGTCCCGTGAGCGCTTGGAAGAGAATGCAACAGCTGGAGGTTGAGACAGCGTGTCAGCACACGCCACAAACAACAGCACAGTGAGGACTAAATCAAAAGCTCTTGTTCAGTGCAGACTGATAAAGTCATCTTGTTTCTAAAGTAACAGCTTTAAACCCACAGGATAAGTGTACCTCCGGTATATCCTGTAATTGTCTATGTTCATAAAGCAAATAAAATAAAGAAATCTAACGAGGATATATAATGCTATGAGCTACCATTCAGATTTGTTTAGACTATTCAAGACTGCATTACACTGGTCTGAAGCAAAAGTAAAGACAATTATAAGAATTGCAAATGAATTTTATTTGATTGATTAAGGATTTCTATACATTGACTGATTTCTATCATATTATTTTTATCTTAACATACATGATTTGTATCATTGATTGACGATTAAGAAATTATTTCTAAATAAATGCGGCTCTTATAAACCATCAATTAGTTACTTAAAAAAACATTAACAAGGTTTCTGGCCAAATATTAAGCAGTACAAATGTTTTAAACGTGTTGCATCCCAATTCGCAATCTATCCATCCTAAATAGTACTTGAAAACAGAATTAGTATGTCCCAAACTGAGTATTTTGAAAAGAGTAAACCAAAGATTTCCGGATGGTTTACTAATTCCGGTAAAATTTTTAAGCGCACAACCGTCCATACTCTAACCGCTAATATTGGCTACAGTACATTACGCGTTAGATGTGAATTGGATTAGAACTACAAACGCAGGTGAAAAGTGTAAATAAACTACAAACATGATGGACACGCGAGACCAAACGTTGAGTAGAGATGCTTCAGTAAAGATGAACCAGATAGGCCGACTCATTCACGGTAATGCAATGCTGCCACACAGGCTAGCCTACTATAGGCTATTATTTTTTTCTACGTAATAATGTCATAAAAGGTATTTATAAAAGGTATTTCAGTAACTTATATATTTATATATATTATATATATTTTTTTAAATAGTAGGCTAGCCTGGGTGGCACCATTGCATTACCGTGAATGAGTCGGCCTATACGGTTTCGGAATATGACAAGCCTTTATTAATTTTTTTTTTTCCTGGTGATTTTATTTTTTGTTATTTGAAATAAAAAAATTAAATCAAATCATTTTTGCATTTTGGTTTTTCGTTTTTCACCATGAAAAAGAAAAATGAGCCCTTTTTTGATTTTTGTTTTTAAAAATTCAAAAAATTCAAAAACAAATAAAAAAATGGCTTGTTTTTTGTTTTTCAATATCTGTTTCTAAAATGAAAATCCAACGACAAAAGATACACTGATCATAATGCTGTGCTTTTTTCAGGAGAGTCTGAAAGTATTCAAAAACAAAAATTGAAAAATCAAATGTTGAATTACACTGCATAAATCTACACTGCATAAACCCTCACTGAATATTTTTTCACTGCATAAATGAAATGTAATTAATCCATGTTAATATTATTTAAATCTTTGTTAAAAGACTTTAATTTACATTTATAACAGACAACAGCAGGCTTATTATGTCACTAAATAGGTCAGAATGCAGACCCAATATAATGACAGACATCCATTTTATAATGTTACACCATCTCAACAGTTTGTTCACTTAAGAGATAACTGTGCACCAGCAACTGATGTTACAAGGATGCTCGCATATCTGACATTACACCATTCATGTCAACATCCCAGTGTCAATGCTAAAACTATATATTGCGCAGCCCTGTAGGTGATATACTACGGTCATGATTAAATACAATAAATTTGATAGAGTCCTGTACCTTGGAGGTGAGATCTCGGTGAAATATACCCTTGGAGTGTAGGTAACTGAGGCCCATTGCAATCTCTAAGGCCAGCTTGACTCTTGTGGCCCAGCTCAGGAACTTATTGCTGTCCAGCAGCTGCTCCAAGTTTCCACCATTAATATACTGAGAAAAAGAAAAGACACATCAAATGACAAACACTACAATCATTGAGCTCCAACAGCCTATATTTTATAAGGATGCAACGGTTCTCTGTAAAAAACCATTGTCCTGTTTTCCTCTAACTGTTTGGTGCGCCCAGCAATCCACGGTTCAGAATATGCATCATAAATATTGGTTTGTTAATGAAGGCCACTTGAGTGACAGCTAGGTCTCGCTGCTCACCGTCTCATCACCTCAGATAGTTCCGGCTGATTAGCTGCTGAGCTCGGCATATACATCGCATTTTTATTTTGTTTTATGTGGCTTTACACAGTCAGTTGCCATTTGGAATTATTTCTTACAATTATCAGATGATATGGCATGCTGTGTGCACTTAATTGTGCTCACAAATTGTTCAAGTGGCCTCCATTTCCCAGGTGAATTTAATTATATCAAATCTATAAATGCATTTGTTTTATTTAAGACCATTTAACATTTATAATTTTCTTCAGACCTGTAATGCACTCCAAAATCTGACAGATTGATTAGCTATAGGCTCTAGAACAGTCATCTAAAACATTTCTTCCCTGGATTTCATAATTAGCTTTGCATTTACTAACACAGACTATATTTGAGATATTTGGATGTAATTTGCAATTTCCTCCTGTAGAAAAATGTCATAAGAACAATGTTTAGTGGCTCATTGTATTAAAAAGGTGTTTTTTAAAGACTAAAATATCCAAAACGCCCTTCTTTTATTTAATTAATGCGAGAGCATGCAAATATACAGTCATATGTGCAAAGCTGTTGCATTGTCAGGTGTTTGTTAACCAATAAATATGTTTATTGGTCTTTGAACTGTTCTGTAGGCAGTTTTTCTAAGCATAGCACAAATCATACCGTACCGGAACTGTGACCCTAAAACCGTGATACATATCAAACCGAGAGTAGATTGAACTGTTGCACCCCTAATGATTTAGTTAAAGGGGTAGTTCTCAAAATTAAATTGTCATTATTTATTTACCTCTGATTTTTTTGCTTTGTTGAATTCGAAAGAAGATAAATGGAACAACGTATAAAAGAAAAAAAAAATGAAAAAAAAACAAACAAAAAAACAGTAACCATTGACTTCAATTATAGGAAAAACAAATACTATGGAAGTCATGGTTTCCAGTTTCCAACATTTTTCAATTTCTTCATTTGTGTTCAACAGAACAAACTAAAGTTGGTTTAGAACAAGTCAAGGGTGAGCAAATGACAACAACATTAATTTTTGTGTGATCTATACCTTTAAAAAAAATAAATAAAAAAAATAAAATAAAATAAAAGGATGATTGGACAAATGTGGGCATAGAAAAAAATTACAGTACAAGACTGATTAAAAAAATAAATGAAATCTGCAGCAGCTTTAATCTTAGACTTATGGGAATTGTAATTATTCTGATGGTCTCAGTACTTCGTGTTTACAATACAGAAGAGAATCCAATCAGTTTCCTGAGGGTAAACAGTATTCCATGCCAACTCTCCAGAGGACTTTTTTTTTAAAGTCACAATTGCATGCAAATTAGCAGAGCCCAACAGGGGTCCTTTAAGTGCTGCTGTTTCACATTGGGATTTTGCATGACAGCACATTCTAATAATTAGGCAATTATTCTGCAGAAGACTCATCTTTTGCAGCTGTGAGTGGTTTACGTGTGATTAACTTTTAAATAAGTTTGAGAGATTAGTTAATTTAGCACACATGCTACTAAGTAGGAGCCTGATGTGTTCACCACGGGGCATTGGTCTCAACAGTGTCCTAATTTTGGGTTGCCTGAAATGATCTGTGCTGACAGATAAAGGGGTCCACATTTAGCTAACAAAATTAGCCGTGGCTGACTAAACAGAGGAGACCTTAGTATGCGGTCAGCACGGTGAGATATCAAGAGCTAGACACGACGGCTGAGTGGAAATGACACCACCTTCCAGTTTCCCATACAGATTCGATGCTGTGAACAACTGGGTTGTCAATAATCCTCCTCCTCTGCCCTTCATCTGTTCTATAATGGCTATTAAAATCAGAGTACATAAATCAATCAAATATGTTGTTGTGCTGTTGTATTCTGAGAACTCTGCATCACATTAAAAGGTCAAAACAAAATCTTTGCCATTTGGTCACTCACTTACAATAGGCTGTTTTCACATGAAGTCACTGCAAAATTCATATGGAGGGCAGGAAGTAATTCTTCTACATCGGAAAATCGAAATGTTTTTTGTTTTATGTTGTTTATAATTGCTTAAATCACAAAGCAGTGGCGCAGTAGGTAGTGCTGTCGCCTCACAGCAAGAAGGTCGCTGGTTCGAGCCTCGGCTCAGATGGCGTTTCTGTGTGGTGTTTGCATGTTCTTCCTGCATTTGCATGGGTTTCCTCCGGGTGCTCTGGTTTCTCCCACAGTCCAAAGACATGCGGTACAGGTGAATTAGGTAGGCTAAATTGTCCATAGTGTATGTGTGTGTGGATGTTTCCCCAGAGATGGGATGTGGCTGGAAGGGCATCCGCTCTGTAAAAATTTGCTAGATAAGTTGGCGGTTCATTCCGCTGTGGAGACCCCGGATTAATAAAGGGACTAAGCCGACAAGAAAATGAATGAATGAATGAATGAATAATTGCTGAAATCTGCCAAAATAAGAAATGCAGAACAGCTTTTAAAGCAGTTTCCAAACACCTATTTTTATGTGCATTTTTGATATGCGCATAAAAAACTGGTTAATGGAAACGCCAAGATGTGCATAGATTTTGAAAACTGAGTAGCATAAACTTTATATTTAATAAGAAAAGATGCGCATAAACTATGATGGAAACACTGTCACCGAACAAATTCTAGTATGCGCATTAAAAAAAGAAAAAAGTCATGTAATTTTGTTATAAGAGATCATATGATGATAAAAATATGTGCAAATGGACAAACCAGCAGGCTGAGCCCACCAAAACATCTGAAATGTTATTTTTTTATTTATAAAAAAAAAAAAAAAAAATGTAATAAAAAAAAAGAAATGTTATTTTAAAAATGTTATTTAGTATTCAAGAAACTGGCTAAAAAACGGAAGAAAAGGTGGCATGTAATCACCATTTTTTCAATACTACCATGCGTACAAACTTTTTTCAATACAATAATTAATTCGACAGCACCAATAAAACAGGCCTATGTGTATAAATATGTTAATGCGTTATATAAACATTAGATACAGACCACAATATACAAAATCCAGGAGAACATAAATAACGTACTCTGCCATATAAATCGCTGTAATAAAATAGGCATCTGGTTTTGCAATAATCCATGTCTTTACTGGTGTTTTGGGAGAATAAACAACCATAACATTAATGTCTATATGCACAGCAGTGGTGAATGATTGTTGATGGGAAGTTCATCAACCGGACAAACAAGAAATGCAACGGTTATTATAATGGAGTACTTTCCCCCAAACAAAAATAGAAAAGATTATGTAGACTATACTTCCATGCTTTTGTATGCTTTTATCTGTTAATTCTTGATGTCTGGAATATATGCACATGGAGAAAATACTATAGTAATTCATAATAAACAAGTTTTTGAACCACATAGTATCGTATATAATGTGCACAATTCTTTGTTAATGAATACTGTGGTATAGTAAATTGATAAACTGCAATAAATATTTTAACGTTAGTGTAAACTGGGGTGCATTGTGATGGTGCATAACTATAATGTAGGAAATTGAAGCCTATTGAATTTGTTTAATACTACAGTTGTGTCATACTACAGCAACAATATAATTACTATGACAGTATCTACCGCCTCAGTGACGGGCAAATATATTTTAATTCAGTGGAAAACTCGTCCCTCTTCATTATATAAGGATCATCCCTAAAATATGTGGTTATTTTCCACTTATATCTCCATTAAAATATGGCATAAATCACAAAAATGCAGCCTTTTCTCAATGCCTCCCATTCAGTTTTTTCTTCCTGCCCTCCATCTGAACTTCACGCGTCACCAGAACCATGTGAATGAAAATAATCTATGCACAGAGTGACCTTGGTATCAACATTTTCCAAAAAACTCCAGCAAAGCATCTAATTTTCTAAACTCCCTGAAACTTCAACTCTAAATGAACACTTATCACCATCCAAAAAAGGCACACTCAGCCTTTATGGTAATCAAATGAGTCAACAGTATTCTTCATTGGATGCTGACTAATAAGTACACTGCAAGCTCTGCAAGGGCACATGTCAGCATAACTCATATGTATTATTAAAGTTACAGTGCTATTTTAGAAATGCACAGTTCGAAGAAAGCCATGCTTTATTGGGCAAGTGAAGTCTGGTAATAGCTTATTAGGACAAAGCAAGCGGTATAATCGCTGGTCATGTGATCTTAAGATTGCACCCATGAGACAACTCAGCTCATGTATAGTAGAACAGTTTATATTTACATTTCTATGACTGAATTCTTTGTCTCAGGCGAGTGTGCATGTTTGAAATGTGTTCAGGTGTAGTTTGGTGTCTGTAAGTTTATTTATTTTTTAATAATACTTATAAAACCTACATTTATCAATAGTCATAAAATTGGTCAAAGTTTATTAAAAATATGTCAATGTGTTGCTACCATTATTAGGAGGCTAGGTGATATATTATGCTGCTCATAAAACATGCAGTCTTAGATATCTCTGGCTAAATATACAGGCCCGCTCTCTTTAGGTCTTTAGGCATGTCTATTTTCGCTCTATTTAGCTCAATCAGCAGAGGAGCAGCCAACCAACTACCATTCAGTAAACAGTTTGTGGGACCGAACAAGTGCAGGACCATTAATTAGGAAAACACTGTGTATAAAGCACGAATAGCTGGAATCTCAATCTATTTTGGGGCTTGGGGGAAGCTACGCTGCGTAGCGTTAATTACTGAACCAAATTGTGTTAAACAGTACAATTTCACAGTACGATAGAAAATAATTTTTATTAACTATTTGAAAACAAAAGTATTAATAGAATTGAGCTAATTATTA